ATCAGTCATTACACAAATCTCAGCTTTGTAGAAACTGTATAGCCTCCATAACTTTTATGCTTATTGCATATACAACAATGCAATTGTTGCGTACTACATTTGGCAATGAAAACTAATTTCCCAAATGTTTTCTAACACTTGGAAACCACATCCTGACCTAAACCCATGCAAATTTTTGTTATGGAGTTATTTGGAAAGCAGAGTTTAACTAGGTTAAATTTAATCACTTACTAAACTGAAGGCAAGGATAACATGGTATGTTTCAAGCAACTTTATTTATTTGAAAATTCTCTTTCCCACATTCTTATTTAGGTAACCACCAATTTTCATTCTGATCTGTCAAGTAAATTCTTCTCTACATTGCTCTTTTGGTAAAAGTCCATCCTTTATACATGGGGCATTTTCTAATTTTGCTCTCTTAAGACACCTCTCTAATAGATGTGTCCTAAACACACAGAAATTTTTTGGGGTGAGGCATATAATAAGAGCTATAAGCAAAAATTCATCGGATTACTTACTGACTCTGCACTGAGTACTGTCAATTAAATTATAACCATCCCATACATTCTGAAGAATGTATAGTTGACTCTTGATAACTCAAAGTAGGAGGGGAGAGAATAATTTGAAGTACAGAAATTACTATTATTTTAATGCGATTGTAAACAGATATTGTTCAAACTTTACTTGGGAAACAATTTTCTATATTTAGTGTGTATATTATGGATACAGTTAAAAAAAATTAGCAGATTACTTTCATTAATGGTACAATGTAATTTGATATTGATGATCCATTTTCAAGACAAGACAAACTTGAAGCACTCACATAGGGCATGGCCTCTTGGAAATGTTACAAAGTATCAACTGCTGCTCTAAAAGATTAGAGTTTAAATCTAATAAAACATTCAATTTTTTTTTTGTTTTGTTAAGAAGACCATGAGTGAGAATAGTAATTTCTTCACTATTATTGGCTTTCTACCAACATCATGCCAATTTACAATGTGAAATTATTTGTGCTGCCGATAAAGAAAACATTTAAGTTAAATTCTCATGAATGGTATGCTTCAAATACACCTTTGTATTGAAAGAAGAAAGAATGAACCATTAAGTGCAATGGATCCAATGCTGTAGAAAGGTACTTATAAGAGCTCTCCACATTTGCCAGAAGAAAATCCCTCAGTTTGATGTAAGTTATCGCTCCAACACTACCACACATATTTTCATTCACAAAACCCACAAGAATGACCAACAGTTATGTCCTGTAGTGGATAAAACAACTTTGCCCACCATTAAATTGGAGAGACTACTTAACAAATACCTCAGTTGCCATCTACAGGAGCATCCTTGTACAGTCACCAATCTACAACAAGTACTTCAAAAACTGCGTAATTTTAAAAATTCAGCAGTTGCTACTTCACAAAGATACCGCAGTTTCAGAGCTATAACTTTCATCAAGCTGAGGGATTTTCTTCTGGCAAATGTGGAGAGCTCTTATAAGTACTTTTCTACAGCATTGGCCCTATTGCACTTAATAGTTCATTCTTCCTTCTTTGAATACAAAAATGTCACTTACCTGCAGAGTAGAGGTGTACCTATGGGTAGCCCGCTATCAGGAACATTGTGAATTAGTGGTCAGAAAGCATGAGAATGCCATATTGTCTAAATTTTATGGTGATATAACATTGTATGTCAGATACATCAATGACATTCTCATAGTATGGAAAATACCTAACCTCGAATTGGTACTTGGGTACTTTAACAATAACCCTTTCGACCTATCACTGCGGACTGAACAAGAGTTGTACAGCTATACATTTTTCTGGACATCAACATCAAATTGAAACATGATCAACTTTCCATCTGTGTTTACTGTAAGGAGTCATATTCACCTCTATTCATACCATATGATTCGCATAACCCTTATTGTTACAAAGTTTCCACTTTTCAATCTCTTGTAAAGAGAGTCCACACACATTGTTTGGAGAAGAGTGAAAAGGAATTGTCATGGATCTCATCACTGGCAATACAACATGGATACCCCTCCTCTTTGGTCAAAGGTCTTGTAAAACAATATCTACACCTGGGGACAGAACCATACCACAGGAGGAACAAATGAAAGTTATTATGTATGATAGAACACTTTCTAAAATCTATAGAGAAATTTCCAGGACCACTAAGGTGTAGTTATCATATCAGCACACACTGACAATTTTTTTACTCATCAGAAATGATAAAAACACTATACATGACTCCTATTCTCCCGGTCTTTATGCAGTACCAATGACCAAATCAACCGCACATTATTATATACTAGTAGCCTGGGATGCCCCCTAGTGGGCATTCTTTACAAATTTCCATGAGGCACGATTCCTTCGACTTTTTTGTTCCTATCAATATGCTCTACAGCTCTGTTAAAATCCAAATGGTAAGATTTACCCTCCGAATGAAGAGGTGGCGACCCCCCCCAAACCGTAGACCCCTGTACTAACAATAAAGTCAAAGGAACCATTACCCCTACTCGCGACCCTTCGAGAGATATAAGCCCCTGAAATAATAAATTCCTATTACAAATATACTGAATTATTTATATTGTTATATTGACCAAATAATAATTTATTGGCCAAATGAATAATAAAAATTTATATTGTTAATTTAAATAAGAATTAAAATTGTTAATTTGAATGTTTGAAATATGACACATGATAAGGGGTGCCTCTAGTGTCCGCTATCAAACGGTTACGGGACAAACGGACACCTGTTGAATGGGTTATATATATAGATTGGGGCGACAGAATTAACACTAATACCAAACAAATTTGATATTAGTGTTAATTCTGGTGTAGACATTAGTGTGAGATACGCAGTGGGTCAGGGGTCAATCTCGTACTGACCACTTAATCTGCACAGGCTGGTAAAGCCCGATCTCGGAGTCGTAGGATGGCTAGGAGGGCAAATCGAGTGGGGAGTGCGTCAGTAAGTCGACAGGTTTCCTCGGATAGACAGGAGACAGGTTTAACAAATAACAAAATAAAGGTTTATTCTATAGCTAAAGTAATTTACAGGATTATACAAGTTACTGATTATAGCTTAGATGCGGATAACATAAATTTATCTAAGAGGGAGCTGTAACTATTCACTATGCCGCGTGAGAGTTTACAAAGAGAGTTGTAGTGGCGGTCAGTTATACCTTATGTCGGAGGACGGTATGCGATGATCCTTCTGGACTATGGAAGCTGGCTGTCTGACACACGCTTATGTCTTCTACCGGCTTCTCCTCGGACAGGATCGGGACGGGAGACACTGTATTCAGACCTTCCTGAGGATCGCGTGGAGGACGGTCGCACTGAGGGGACGATCGCCTGGAACTTCCCGTGACGATCGTTTTCATACAATCGTCGTTGGCACTGAGCCAACAGGTCGTTCACTCGTTATGCTGACTAATTAGCACGTGCACGTTGACTAATTAACAAACGGACGATGTGTAAGATTCGACATCCGATCTATTTCCGTTATATTTTTTTCCATCCTCTAATGAAAAAAATAGGTTAACCCTAAAAATTTTCGAACTCAAACCCCTCGGGCTCACATTAGGATGAAGGAACATGAATACTCTATAAGAAGCTGTCAACTATGATGTTAGTGACTTATGCTGCAAATGAAGATGTACAAGTTGAACTTTGGGACACAAAATTGTTTCACACGGTTTCTGATAGGCACACCTTAAATAAATGGAGGAAATTGAAATCTATAGAGCATTTAAGGATGGAGTGGGCATTAATTTCAAAGAAATAGACACACTGTCTACAGCATGGCATACTATTTTTTAACTGTTGTAAACCTCTCTCAGATACATCCCACCTGATGGTGCAGATATGAGTTTACAATAAGGATATTTTAAAATTAATAAACATTTCTCAGCAATAGAAGGTGTTTGATGTTTCATTATTTTGACACAAATAAGATAAATTAATTTCCAAAAATTTAAGTATGTCATTGCAGATTATTCTTATATATGAAACAAAATAAATTATATGTAAATTATTTAAAATTATTAATATAAGTTAAAGTATGCCGTGTTCCATTTATGATGTTAATTTGAACATGTAAAATGCATTTGATTTTTATATGTAGCTGTTTTTGTTCTGTGATTTATACCTGATGTGTCTATTTTAAATAGATGAAAACATTATTAAATAATTTCTTTATTTATTAATTACATAGTTGCTGGTATTGGTTTGATTGTGTGTTTATCTAATCCCAGTTTTGGAGAGTTACTTCTTGTTCTCTCTCTTGTTCTTTGAAATTAAGCATATATACGTGGATTGGTATTTTAGCCAGTTTTTATTGGTTTATTTTAAAGATTTTGTTTTTATACCTTTTATTTGTCAATTTTCTATATTTTAGCACATTCTACTTTTTTTTATTTATAGTTTTACTGGTTTTATCCAACATTTTTAAATACTAAGTTATTCCAGTGGTCACCATTAGATATATTTAGTTTTACCATATTATACACAATAAAGACTGATGAGGGCATATGGCTCAAAGTGTTTTTCCTTTAGAAAATGGTAAAAGTAGATTTTATTTTCTATCAATAAAAGGGTTCCTGTATGATGAGTTCCCCATAGCAATTCTGTACTTTATAGCTTCTTTGTTCTTTGGAATTACCATTTGTGTATGCTACATTATTAAACAAACCATATACATGCAGGGTTCCAATCACTTTAGTCCACATCTAACATGATATGTTAGCCATGAACTAAAGTCATTGGAATTGTACATTTGAATTAGAGAGGACCTTTAATACCATTTTCACTTACGAAAATAAAAAATTTATTTGAGGCTAAAAGAATTATGCTGGAACAAAAGTAACATTTGACTTAGCAAGAGTCAAACCATATCATATCACTTCAAACATATATAACTAAAATAAATAAACTTATCTTTAAATAATGTAAAATAACTAAAGTATGTAATGTTTAATTTGAAGTCAAAATCCTTGCCTCCAACCAAGCGACGATCGTGGGCCCATTCCACAATGCGAAAGGTGTACCCGCTTTCATTGCTTCAGCTAATAATTCATGCCTACAAAACACCAGTAATTACAAAAGTGAGCAAATAATTACAAAATAGATTTTTGTAATTGCTAAAAATATGCATGCTATACTTTAATATACAAATAATCCAGATAGGAATTGTGGCCTTTAGACTGACTAAAATTGCCTAATATAAGACAGCTACGTAATATTTACTGCAAGTGTAACTTATCCAAAATTCTTATGAAAAACTTCAGCCTTAACTTATTAATTTATTAATAAGAGAACAAATTGAAGACACGAACACGTACTTCCTCTTCGTTCTTCTGTCATAGTCTGCTTTCTGCCCTAGCCCACTAGATATTGCCGACGAATCCGTTCCTATTACTTCGCTGTCCGAGTAAACAGCACCTACAAGTACAAAATGTAACAAATTTGGTATTAGTATTAATACTGGATGTTAGAAAATTTTTGTGAAACTGATGAAAATTATTACAACTTAATAAACTGAATTTACTACATACGTAAAGTATAAATGCACGTACATAAATTCATTAATAATTGAATTTACTTATCATTAAAGGTAAGCATCTTGATGACTTTAAATTATTAGTTTAGAAATACAGAAAACAATGGAAATTAAACCTGCAACTGTCAGAATTGCAAGTTGAAATCTGATGAAACAGTTGGAGATAGAGTAATCTGTTAAGTTTATTAGTAATTCAAAAGTAAAAGATAAATGGGAAATTTGATTCAAATAAATTAATTAAAAATTAATGAATAACTAAAGTATGTATAAAACTAAATAATTGTGTGGTGATGTTTGATAAAGTGCATTTTTTTTCTTCTTCTTCCTCCTTTCTTTTCACTTAGGTGCTCTTCTACTTCTTCTGCCTCTTGCAATTGTTCTTTTTGATGTTCCTTCTGTGAGATCCGAAAGGCCCTGGGTCTAATTTGTGAATTTTTATTAAATATGTTTAAATATAGACACAAAATATTACTTCGATTTGTGGGAAAAACCAGATAACAAATGTTATTTCCTTTCATCGAAGAGATCATCCTCTGTTTTTCCGTATCTGGTTAAAAATCTCGCTCAGATGGGAAATGGTTACCCCTCATTCATCCCCCTTTCGTCCGTTCTCACGAAAGAGTTACTGGACGATGATTGGACGAAAATTTTGAAATATAAGGGGAAATTAGTCAGAATTCGGGGAGTTCTTCGACAGATCCGAAGCATCTAAACTCCACGCAGTTTTCCTCCTGATGGCCAACGCCCATAGCAGAGTCCGATAGACTAAGTCCCGAGTCTACACTTAGAAGAAGTAATATTTTTATATTTTGTGCACGAATTGATCTCCCATACGAAAGTAATAAGAACCCTATCTACAAGGTGTCCTATATCTACAGAAACAAAGACGACAACTAACAGGTCGTATGTTTAGAATCATTTTTGTGAGCTCTCTCTCTCGAACGCGCATTAGCATAGATTTAGTCGTAGTCTTTTGCTTGTCGCTAAAGGGTTGTAATCGAAATTTTTGTATTCGTTTGTTTGAGATTTATTAAATTTACTCTTGTTTTATTTTATAAGAATGTCTCCTCAATTTATTTCGAATCAGATCGTAAACGCGTGTTAATCCGCGTATAATAAGTTTGATTAACTGGTGTCGGGATCCTGACAGAAGGAAGAAGATGAATTCGCCATCACCAACTTCCGCTCTAAATTATAATATAACAGTAAAGCCCTCCACACTCGTTTCCCTACGACTGGGAAAGGCCGTTCTTTGGACAACCGAGAACTGGTTTTACCGACTAGTGCCCGTAAGTGGCGTAGATTGAGCTCTGCGTCCTTGGCTAAATCTCACACTTCCCACACTGACTTCCTTTACTTGTTAATTCTTTGATGCCCTTTACCTTTTATAAGAATGTTGTTTGTGCTAGTGGCCTCATTAAATAAGTAGGCTGGTCCCAATACAGTAATTTTTATAGCTCAATTGAGACTTATGAAATGAGTCATAACTGTGTTTGTTTTGTGTGTTTAGAAAACTCTTTACATTAAAATCCTTACTTTCTCAAGACTAAGTGTTTTCAATAACTAATTCTTTAAACAATCAGAAGTTTATTCCATACTTTGAGATGTAAGACTTATATTTTTAATTATTTTATATCAAAATATGTACATACCTTGATTCATTAACTCTTTATTCAATGCTTCTTTTGCTTTGGCTTTTTCTTTTTTACTGAAAAATCTTCNTAAGACTTATATTTTTAATTATTTTATATCAAAATATGTACATACCTTGATTCATTAACTCTTTATTCAATGCTTCTTTTGCTTTGGCTTTTTCTTTTTTACTGAAAAATCTTCCCAGTGAAGACTTAAAACCCTTCTTCTTGGGAGGTGTCTTGTGCAGAGAATCTTGCGAAGAATTAGCTGAACTGAGAGGGGAAGGAGTGCTAAGTAAACCTCCATCCATGGTTTGCCTGATAAAAATATTGCTATGTAGGAAAAATTGCATGCAGAAAACTAATAATAACAAGCAAATTAAAGCCAAAAGAAATAGCAAATAAATTCTAAACTGAAAAATATTAATAATTTATCTATTATTATAAGCAAGTTTATATACGTATATATAAAATTTTCAGTCGATGGAAGCTACGTATTAGCAAAACAAGGCAAACAAAATAAAAATTCACACTAAGCTAACAGACAGAAGCAGCCATAGTTAATATATGTTATCTAAGGGAATTAAATGATACAAAAGTGCTTTGAATATTTGATTTTCTCTCATATGGGACGAACCGTTGGTGTCTGTAACAACTCGGAGAGTCGAAAGAGAAAAATGACATTTCACAGAAAGGGAAACTTCCCAGCCAATTTACAAAAGGGGATTTGGATGACATTATAAGATTTAACAAAGACCAGAAATAAGTTTATTGAATATCTGTTAATTTATGAAATATGAATAAAGGGAAGAAATGGTTTAATGCACCAAAAGAAGTCTAATTTAATCTGGCAAATAAACCATCTTTTAAAAGCTTACTGTTTCCAAATTGCTCCGAGTGGGATTTACATTCATTTTAAAATGCATTGCATGCAATTCAAAACAAATATAGCTTTTAATCATAGAGTTGTAAGATGTTCTTTCCTGAAATCACTTAAATAATCAGCTGGCCTTTTAATGAAATGATTTTTATTATTGGCAATATGCAGTCAACTAAAAATATTCATGATTTTATTGCATTAGATTATTTTTTAAATTTGTTCAGTAGCAAAGTTATTACATAAAAGGAACTTACGATAGTTTAAGAAAACTTCTCGCGGCCCTGTGGGTACTAAGAGGGCCTTTTTAGGAAGTCTGTTACGGGTTCAAATGGGCATGCAATTGGATGGCAGGAGACAGGGCGTGACGTATCTGGACAGACCACCAATAAAAAATTCTTGGGGTTTATTGACCTACCCGAATTCAATTCTGGGTGGCTCTGAGTGGCAAGCCAATACCTCGGCAGTCTAACTTAAGATAGCAGAAAAGTCGTACAGAGGAGGCAAAGAAATTGGCCAGCTTTAAAAAGATAAGTAACTGAATTTGAGGATTTAAGCTTTGAAAAATTCAATTCATTTTCTATTTTTGAATTTTATTTTTAGTGCATTAAAACTGTCTGTCAATAGTGATAAATGCAGTTCTTTATTTTCAAAACTGAGAGAATTTAAGATAAAACAAACTATATACTAAAGAATATTAGATACATTTGCCAAGTATTTCTCCAAAGACAATACAATAAGATGCTATTTATCATTACACAACACAGCACCTTTGTCATCTAGAATGCTACTTATACTAAAGCATACAAAACTTGACAAAAACCCATAATTTATAAAATGAATATTGCAACCAGCATAACTTTCTATTTCGTAGTCAACTATCATTATTTGTATATATTTGTATTAAGAGTTTGCTTCTCTTACCCCAAACTGAGTAACAGTATTCAGTAAGGATATGTGGTGAGATAACAAAGAATGAGTATGTATGCTGTTTGAGTTGTCTTGCGAAATCCTAACTGGAAACATGGCAATTGAGCAAAGAGAGATTCTTGTCATGACGATCCACTGTCGAGTATTGCTAGACACGAGAAATTTTTCTTCCTTTTTAATTACATGCAAAAACCTGTGAGGATGACTAGCAATCCAGCCCATTATTCTATAAGTATACTGGCAGATCTCAAACTTTTTCTAGTGCACTTTGTGAATATAATTAAGAACATACTGTATTTTAAATTATGAATAGTTGCAGCAATAGTAACTTAAAGACCTAGACTAGCTATTAAATTGATCATAGTTGTAATAAATCTTTATAGATTTCTTCTCGTTTTTAAAATATAATTTTGTAATGTTTGCGTCAACCATTTGAAAATCACTGGCATAGAACGCTATTCGAAACAATCTTTGGCATTTATTACTTACATTACAATGCCATCTTTGCATAAAAGGCTGCACTTAATTGCTTTATAGATTTCTTCTGTTTTCTTTGCTTCTATAGTAAACTCTTCATCATCGGCAGTTTCGTTATGTTTGGAATGTAGCCCAAAGGTCTATCGAGTAAGGCAGAAGATGTATCCTACTTTATGCCAGAATTTAAAAGTTGTCAAGTGGGTGTATATATATATTTTTTTTTCTGGTTCGCTCGCATTCAATATATGCATATCCCTAATTAAACAGATGCCTGCTGGTTTGTGCAAAGAGCCTGGCTTCCAGAATGAAAAGACTGACATATATCTTAATATTACAATAACTGAAACAGAATTATAAGGATCAATCTACATTTGCTAGAAATATATTATGAAGCATTAATGTATTTAAAACTTTTAACTTAATAAATAACAAAGGGATTTTACTATGAATTAATTTTACAGGTTTCTAATTCTTCCAAGTCTCAAACATTTTGAAAATCTTAAGTTTAAGCTTTGGAATCGATTCGTACAGAAATTCTAAAATAAACATTATTATTTGTGTATCTAAATACGCTCTTTTGTTCCTAAACTAAATTCTATCTGTCAAACTAGAAAAAAAATAAAAATACTGGAAAAATTTTCACGGAGAAGACAGGAAAAAATCTTTCCCAAAGCAAAATAAGTCTCGAAAATGGAAAACACAAACACGACAGTCTAAAACTTACAAGAAATTCCCAGAAGAAATTAAATTCTTAAAATTCTGAATAAACCACTAGAATTTTTATATTAGAAATTTTTAAAAATTTGATGGAGTTTTTAGGAATCGTCATTTCGTTACCTTGTTTGAGTAGAAGTTATAGAATTGTAGTTTGAAAAAATAAATAAAAACTAAACTACTTGCACTTTTATTTTAAATTATAAAATAAAATACTAAATTATGGATAATGTAAATCTAATTTAATTATTTAAAAAAATTTATTTACGGGTATAAATTTTAGATAGACATAGACTAAAATTAATGTTTTATTCTGTATTTATTAAGTAAAAAAAAAAAAATAAATTTGACATTTGAAAATAACCTTAGCATGTCTTGAGAAATGGAAGATATATTGGCTAGAGTTGTGTGAGGGTTAGAGATGGAATTAGGCACACTTCTTTGCAGAAAATCATTCCGGATCGGGAAGCGCATTTAAATATAAAGGGACAAAAAACACAAGAAAATATTATATACAATTTGCATTCATGCAAGAAAGCGTAATAAAACAACTATTATATAATTATATAAATTAATAGCATTAAATCTTTATTTAAATTAAAATATGCTTCGCAAAACTTATAAAAGAGAAATTAATAGAAATTTAATTTTAAATTATAATAAAACTCTGTTTATGCAAATATTTTATATTAATGATTTTATATATATAATGAAAAAAATCAACATTCCAGATTATCTCAATTTGTCTAACATCTAAGTGGCCGCCAGTTTATTGTAGAAAGTCCTACTGGGAGGCATCTGCCCGAAAGATTGCCGACTTGTTGCATTGCCGTATTCCATTTTAAGAATGGTTTGGCAGATGGCCAAACCATTCTTAAATGAAAAAAAAAAGTTTTGATCTGTTTGCTCTATATGTTTTGAGTACTCTGTTAAAAATTCATAGGTGCAAGCGCCCAAAAATGAAAGGTGAATAAATTTCTTTGTTCCTAAAAGTTGTATTAGGTTGTTCGGAAAGTAAGTTTGCTTTTTTTACCACTAGACGGATTAGTTGTATTTTTCCCGCCGTTTTCGTTCTAAACCATATTATCATTATATATTTTGACAGCTAGCATTTTAAGGCTTATTTGTAAAAAATTTTGTTTGATTCTGTGCAGTTGTTTATTTTTTGTGTACCATCAAATATGGAAGATCGAAAGCATCATTTTCGGCATATTTTGCTTTTTTATTACCAAAAAATCAAAATGCTGTTCAAGCAAGATAAAAATTGTGGTACATGTATAGAGATGATGTGTTGAGAGAAAGACAGTGCCAAAACTGGTTTACAAAATTTGGTTGTGGCAATTTCAATATTGAAGATGCACCACGTTCTGGATGGCCAGTTGAAGCCAACGAAAACAAAATAAAAGTACCGATCGAAGCAAACTGCCAAATAACAACACGTGAAATCACTAAGAGATTAAATTTGTCAAAATGAACCGTTTATGATTACTTGAAACAAAATCGATTTTGTTTCAAAGCTCGATATATGGATTCCAAATGTTCTTACAGAGATGTCTCTTTGATGGGATTTTAAGGAAATTCTTTTTTGGAGCTTTTACCAGACAATTTCACAATTAATTCGAAAGTGTACTGCCATGAAGTAAACAAATTGAGTAATATCATCAAACAGAAAAGGTGGCCAGAATTGATAAACAAAACAGGTGTAGTGTTTTACCATGATAATGCCAAATTTCACACAAGTTTGGTAACTCGTCAGAAACTGTTACAGCTTAGATGGGACGTGCTATCGCACCGACCATATTCACCAGATTGAGCACACTCGGATTATTACTTGTTCCGGTCTATACAGATTTTTTTTTAACTGTGTCATTTCAAGTAAATGTCTTAATGCCAAAAATCACTTGGATCAGTTTTTTGTAAGCAATGATCAAAACTTTTATGAATGTGAAATCATGTTACTACCAAAAATGATGACAACAGGTATTTGACCAAAATGGTTGATATATAATTCAATAAAATATTTATTTATTATAAAAATATTGTTTTTTTTTCCACGGAAAAAAAATGAACTTACTTTCCGAACAATATTTATGAACATTACTGATGTATTGCTTTGCAAAGCAGCAAATCGCAAGAAATGGGAACAGAATAGGAAATACACATTTGTATCCGGGAGAGAGCTGCTTGTTGTTTGGAATAATTCTTCATGTCTACATCTAACATGCAGTTCACTTCCCATGCTTTGTGACGTAGCATTGAAGCAAATCAAATTTAAACAAATTAGCATTTAATGCTTTTTACCCACGTTATTTGTGTGCACGGGGTATCCTTTCTTGCTAAATCGGAAGTGTTCGACAATCTTGTAATTGACTTTTTTCTTGTATTGTGAATCCTTTCAAGATAGAAGCACCAACTTTCAAATTTTATTACTAGGAGACACTGCAAGCAGCCTCCTCTTCTAGCACTTAGTCACTTTAACGTCACATTCACAATTGTAGATATCTGCATTTATCAGTGGGTGTGAAAGGACTTTACAACACATCCCATAAAGACTTAAAAATTTTTGGAGTAATTTGATTTATACATTCAAAATATTTCACATCTGTTGCAAGACTTTTCCACATTTTAAAACTTTCATTTCTTATAGATCAATATGAAAAGTTTGCACAGATTTTGATAAAAGTATGTACAATGCATAACTAAAACATTCATTTTGTGATTTTGAAAAAATAGTTAAAAATAATTTGAATAATCAGAGCTTTATTACAAAATTACTAATCTTAACTGTAAATAATAAATTAAATATGAATTACAATTAATTTTATAAGTAATACTTTAAAGTATATAAATTATGTATTCATAAATGCTTAAAATTATTACTTAGGCATAATTTTAGCAGATTTAAAATTTCAAATCAAGGGAATCCAAATGTAAATAAACTAGATTTTATGTAGTGAAATAATAATAATACAAATTATTTATACCGATATAATTTCAAGTATTGAAAGTGACATTACTGCTGCCGTTTCTGACAAAAATCTGTCTCGGACATTTGAAATTATAGAATTCTGAGCTTCATGTAGAATTGTCTACCATAACAATACAATAACAACTACAGTGTAAATAATTATTTTCTTTCATATGCAATTCTGTGTTTTATATCTCACAAAACTTGTTATTGTTTTGTATTCTTTCTTTGATCTGTTTATTTTAAGGAGTCAACTTTCTTATTTTTGTTAACAAAAATGTTTTCAGCCTGTATTGTTGGGACTTGGATGATTTTGCAGATTCTTTAATTTCTGACTCTTCTTCTATGCCAAGACGGCCAAGTCAAAACCTATATCGAGATGATTCCTTTTGTGATGTGTCCAATAGAATTCTGTGGCGCCGGGATGTTGAAAACTGCAATTGGAAAATAGCACGTTGCAACACTGGATGGCCTGTGGAGATCTGCATAGATGAATAGATCGAACTAACCCTCGTCCCTTCCGGGCAATCAACTTTGGTGGAAACCAAAGTACCACCACTAGCACTAGCATGGCCACTCTGCTCACACACAGTCTGAGAGCAGAGTGGCCATGCAGACCACAACTCTTGGCAGTATCTTAGATTTACATAAACCAAGAGGTTAACAAATTTTTCACATAGAAAGGGATCAATCTTCTGTATATATACAATGAAAAAAATGATTAATTTTACTTTGGAAAACAAGAATAAAGTTATATTCATTCTTCTTTGAGAAATTCTAAAAAAACAAAAAAGTTGTAACTGACAATGGTTCAAAATAAGTCGAAAATATTTTATTAACAAAAGAAAGTCTATCTCCTTAAAATAAACTGACCTGAAGGAATTCCAGTACTATTTAATTCCTGTCGACTACAGTATGCTCCGAAAACTCGTATATTTGATACTCATCAATGGGAGCATAAGCCATTCTGCATCTTGTTTAAAGTGGATTCTTTATTTCTGTGAAAATGTTTATAGCATTTATAAATATACACGGCCAGATGCTCGTGTAATATCTGCAAGCTTTTTTATCGGATAGTAGTTAGGCCGAGGAAATGCCAAACACTATTTTGCATTCTTAATGAATGCGTGTAATGCTTTTCTATGGCAAAGTAACTTCTCTATGAGAAATGCTCTTTTATATGACAACATTATTGTTACATCAGAGAACAAAGCATATAAGCTATCAGTTTTAACTGATAACATTATTGCTCAATTATCAGTTTTTATTTGGATGCAAATACCTTAGATACTGTTACACCAAATTAATTTCTGTGCTTATTTAGCATGAGAGCCAAGAATTAGCATGACATAAATCACAAAATTATTAATAGTATATTGATTTGTAATGCACATCCAAATTATTTTGTTTCAATCAAACACAAGAACATTTTGCATAGATTTTTATTTAATTTTATCTGCTTCTATCTAAATGCAATGTATTTAAAAATTGCAAAAAATTCTTTACAGTCAACAAAAATTTAGTATTAATAGCAATATATTTTACTGAATGATTTGAGTGTACCTAATATATTCGAAATGTTTTGTTAATGGTAATTTAAAATAATGAGAAATTTTTATAAGTGAATGGGAATAAACATTTACTAAAAGCAAAATTTAATGATTGATTTGTAATTAAAAATTATCATCAATATTAACATTTAAAAACAGATTCTGAAAAAGAGACAATGCTTACTTCAGTTTCAACCTGTTAAAATCATATTGTGTGTTGTGGTATTAGTAGTAATATACTTGATAATATATACCAATTGGTACATACTAACCAGTATATTAGTGCCTAGGCCAAGCATTAAGGTGAATAATTTCGCAACATAAAAAGCCACGTGTTCACATATTGATGGCCTTTTGTCTGCTAACAACCGTATCTGAGTTCTATCATAAAAATAACCGGCCTTAATATGATGAATTTTTCATATTAAGACCGTTTAATAGTGCATCCAATATTTTAAATGTGTAAAACAGGTTAATATTTCTACAGAAAATTATTTAGGAATCTATAAGTTATAAAGGATGTATAGTAAACGAATCTCTATAAATCGAATGTCCCAAGTAAGATTGGCCCCATTCTGGAAATGATAAACAAATTTAGGCAAAATGTACTCGTTGGACGTTTACAAAAGATGCCGATAGCGGTGTCGTCGTGCATTTTTGCACTTTTCTGTATGTGCAATCGTATTCGGACTGAACTTGTGAAATGTCAGTAGCTTTTAATGATTTTGTGAATTCTTTCCTTTCGTATACATATTGTTTCTGAATCGATCTTGTACATTTTTCCTATTTTAATATCCATTATAAAATTTACGTCCCTAATATTTTCTCATCTCGGTCGGGCGTATTTTGAGTGGGACACCTGCATTACAAGATATTGCACAGACGCATGTACATAAATTAAATACTTTGGCTTAAATTTTGATTTTGCAACTGTTTTTCCCATTCTGTTTATAATAAAAAAAATTATCTGTTTGAAATTTAATTTATCAAAGTAAATTTTCATATATAAAAATGCTAACAACAACTACAGAATAATGAAAATTTTTCTAACAAATCAAAAAATATATAGAAAAATCTCCATTATCATCGTGTCACCTTCTTATTTCTTCACTGTTTAATGCCAACGCCTGAGCAACTCGTTCTAACCGCAGAGAACGTGGTGTCGGAGGACTGGTCTCTCTTCTGATTAATCTACTGTCATCCTTTGATTCGCTTGAAGGATGGACCTAAATCAAAGATTGGAACAATGAAAAACTTTCTGCGTACATTTACGACATTATTTAAAAGCAGCTATAAAAATTGATTGAATAACTAATACTTTTAAAATAAAAAGTAAAATTGCAAAAAAGAAAAAAGGGGAAAAAAAACAAAAAAAAAAAAAAAAAAGAAAACACACAACAGCTGCCCTGAAATTAAAACATCACATTCACAAATGTATTCTGTAAAAAGCATTTTCAAATAAATTGAGGTTAAGTTTCATATTTAGAAAAAATGTTATCGTGTGCAAAATTGATCCTTCGTTCAAAAGAATGACTCTAAAAGATAAAATTTTAGTCTTTTAAACCGAAAAAAAATTAACTGTTTTTGAAAAAGATAAGCCAAAATGAAATAAACAACCGTTTGGTTACTTCGGTATACGAATAATCGGTAAATACAAAAAGTAAATTGACATTTGCCGAACGTTCCACAGTAGTAATAATATTAAGTGCATGTCGAGCAAAGCTTTCAGTTTATTTACAAAACAAATGAAATTTTTAATGCATTTTATTATATTTTTCTTTTTTTTTTTTTTTTAAAAAAACAAAAACATTGTGTATTTTGCAATGACAGAATTTGGTAAGAAAATTAGGAAAATCATTAATAATTAATTGAAAATTAGAATGTTGTGAATATAGTTTAAGGATTTTGAGCATCCCGTTTGAATTCTTAATAATTAATGTCTTAGGAAAAGTCGATCAATGAACGCAATTTAAAGATTTGACATCTCGACTGACAGAAAGAGAAAAAAAATGCTCCAGTGAGATTAAACTTGTCAAAATAAATAATGGATATCATTTTGAATCTTTTATTTTTAAGTAATCACATTAAAGAATATTTAATAATTTTGAAAATTGTCTTGACATATTGGCAATAATCATTTTTTTAATACAGAAAATTCTTGTAAAGATTCGTATGAGCTTTGTGAATCTATCCAGGACAGACAGAGTCAACTAATTTGACAAAACCACTTCTAGCCTTGTAAGGTGTTGGCCTATCACTCCAGGGAACCCCGGATGGAATCTGGATGAGGAAGTTTGCTTAGGTTAGGTCTGGATTCCCGTTACAACTCTCTCCAAACCCGCAACGGGTACAGAAAATAAGGCACTCGGGAATATTAAATTTAAATTAAGAATTTTATTGAGAAGTGGGTTCGATATACCTAGATCCATCTACAATAAACTTCTGAGGGTCTGGTACTAGTTTAGATCTAATCTTGGAATGACAGGCAGATTCCAAAACTAATGTATAAATTTTATTAACAAGTTTTACAAAATTAAAATAGCAGAGGAAGGGAATAAATTGCATTTAATTAGCTCCTCCTTCAACTAGCAAGATAGAAAACAGATGTTCCTTCAAATAGGTAGAGTTTTAAAAGGAAAGAATCAAACCTTTTCAGAATATTCATGATAATCCAACTATATATAAATCTACAGACTAATTTACTGTATAATGTTAGGAGTTATTGCTGCCTGCTTACAAGTTAAACTACAATTTGCTATTGACATGCAATTAAGAAATTATTATAATACAGCCACATAAATATATTTTTTATATCATTGCCAATATGTCACCATTTGATTTAACAACAATCTCATTTGTTCCTTGTACTTTCATAGCTGAAGAGCTGGTAGACAAAACAAGTTATATCCAACGTTTAAAATGATGTTATTCCTTACTACACTGGACTTTCTGAAGCAGCATATGGACAATATAAGTAATATCCCTGATGGTTCTACATTGTTATTCCATGCAAATCAAGCTAGTTTGCTCAGATTTGACAAACAACCTGAGAATTATCCCAAATAACAGACTGATTAGCAACTATGGTATCCACCCCATCAACACCAAAAAACTTATAATTTATTTGTCCAAACTTGAAAATGTCCTTTTTAAAAACACTTATGATGGCAAATATTGGTTTATTGGACAATCTGCAAAATTACCCTCATGCAGGTTTTATTAAAAGGTATGCCTAATTTTTCAAATACTTAAAATATTTGAGTTAATTCCTCGTTTGGTTACTTCTGAATCCTTCACAAAAAATCTTCCCCTCTTGCTGTAGAAAAATTTATCATAAAATCTGAGTGAATGTAAAAAGAAGCATACCGTACAGTACTCATTCCTACTTCAACTTTTTGCAGTATGGTAAAAAAAAATATGCTGAGAAGGAAAACAACTTTCTGGTACAAAAGTATGGAGGGGAATGTCCTTACGAATCAATGCTCCCGGTTGGACTCCTTAAAACCCATTTCAGCATTAATGTACTTCAGATAGTACATTTTCTCCTAAGCCCTACACAAGTTATAAATCCATCTAATCATTCATTATTAAGGAAATTTGTTAGAATTTTCTGACCTAAATTAGCCGAAAGGCTAGAAATCCCTTGCTTCCAGGTTGCACGCCAGAAAATCATTGCAATAAATGTTTTACTGAGCGATTCCGAAATGGATATTTTTTCCTCGTGCAATTTTGTTATTTTATTTTGAAAAAAATATTATGGCAGCATTTGCCTGATTTGAATCATTATTTATTATATGGCCCTTAAAGAAATTATTTTAAATTATAAAAAAATCTGGAAAATTACAGAAAACCGATGGAAAGCTTCATTTCACGATGAAAATCACACTTTTCTCAAAGTTACTACATTATAATATGAAAGTCATTACTGCTTTAAATTCTTAAATCAATCATTAACCAATAAAAACATGGTTGAATGGCAAAGAGGTTAAGATAGCAGCCTGCTGTTCTGGGGATCCAGAATTGAATCTGAATGGCAGAAAAAACCTGGGGAATTTTTTGCGACAGTCTGTCCCAAATATGCCAAGCCAAATCCATAACAGGTTTGCTAAATCCTAACATCTTGTACTTTATTTGTCCACTTAATTGAAGTGTGATTTTGCTGCTATAATTTAACTTTTATTCAAATTAGCCAAAAGTGATATTACTGATTTTGCATACCAGCTCTCTAATGAAATGACTTTGAATTATTGGATCTAACTGCAAATCAAATGTAAGATCCACTTTAATTATTGGTATTTATATATAAGTATAATTTATATTATCCTTAATTATACAAAATTTTTATACATTGCAAAACATGTAATTTTAAAAATATAAGGCGTGTTTTGTGTAGTCGACCGAACATTGGCCGTACGGTTATATTTTACATTGGTGCTTCCGAACCTGTGTCGTTTCTCGACTAATGCTTTGCTTATTTGTCGTCGTCGACGGCCGATTAGTTTCTTCGACTGAGGTGCAACTCGATGAGTCGTTTCCAACGGATAAAACAAAAGACGAGAGGACGTGAAAATGGTGTAACAAAATTGTTTTGCTAAGACAAAAAATGGTCGACACACAAAAACATGCCTATATTTTCAATATAATTTACTGCATTAAAAATTTATCATTTTCATTTACCAATTTTTCCGTGTTTTATTATTTTCTCTGCACGCCCATCTTTTTATCTTTTAAATTCCAACCAACAGAATGTGTTATTTTAGTTAGTTTTCAAAACATTAAAAAAATATAGTAGAGAATAAAAGTTGATTAGAATGCTGAACAAAATTTACTTACAATGCCAATTAACTAAAATCAAAAAACTCATTTTAGATACTTGTTTAATAGAGTCATAATGGTTAAACAATGGGTTAAATCACACAAATTTTTAAAAATTAGTATGAAAATTGCATCAAAGTTGAAAATAAAAGCACATTGCAATCAAATACAACAACAAAATACAATTATTTTAATTGATATTTATGAGTAAAATGTTATGAGCATAAAAATAGATTTATGCAGTGAGGGAAAGAAAAATAAAGCTGATTCTCAGCACCTCAAATATGACAAGCAATAACAAACATAGATTAAAAATTTACAAAGCGTGCATCCGTTAATTATCGCCCTGCCCGATCACATCGTCGATGTTAAAATATTTAAATAAAGCCAGACTAAAGACGGGAGTCGATTAACGGCCTTAATCTAAACGTTAGTTAACATTTACGAACGTCTTGAGAAATAATTCTCGTGCCAGTATTAAAATTGTACAAAGGTGAATTCTCACCTGAGTGGGCTGAGATTCAGCTAACTGAGGTTGGCTAGTGGAAGCGTATTGATACATGTGACCGGGTGTGATGGAGGCAGGGGCCTAAACGAAAAAGTTATTTTTAGTTTCAAATTTTTCTCTTAAAACAATGAGAACCATTAATGATGGGCTAATAGATTTCCGACTATCCGAATCTTCTCCGTCGGCAGAGAACGTGACGTGCGTCGATTTATTGCAGGGCCGACACCAAAACGAATCCGACGAGGACGTTTTATTCCACGTCTCCCGTAACGATTACCTTATTCATGTTATAGCGATACTTTAAAAATTAGAATTTGTGCACAATATTTGGTAAACAGTAAATGGAATAGTCAATAATTCATACCAATGACGAGGTAACTGAAATACGAATTAATAAATTACCGCTATCGTCGATTTCCAAATATTTAGAAAAATTGATGTATACGGAGACAACCTGTAAGTAATATTGCCAACATTTGAGGCATTTAACTCTGAAAAATACATTCCCATATCAGAAAGGGGTGTTCTTCCAATACCCTCTCTGGTGGGTTGACAGACAAAATTTGTCGTATGGCCAAAAACATCCGCAACCAGTCAATCGCCCGACACGAATCCGTCAAACTCATCTAGAATCTGCCAGATCAGGCGGTGCAACGACATTCACTAAAACCCATTTCCCACAGAGAACTTTCAGACCGTTTTCTTGCCGATATAGCAGAACTCGTCAATTCCACACCTGACTGGATTTAAGGCTTTGCGGTTTTAATATGCATATATGGCGTTCATGTCACACACATACTGTGAAATAAAGGTGTCTATCTGTTTATTTATGGTTGTCTCTGTACAGAACACACTCGGTTATCCGGGGCAATATTAATTGAAATGCCACAAAAAGCATATAGCCGATGACAAAGCAGACTATATTAATTACAAAGTATAAATAAAAGATGTTGCAATACGAATTTTTAAGAAACCGATTATTCTTTTTCCTTTTATTCTAACTTTTTAAGTATAAACGACTATGCTAAGGCATAAAAATGAAACAACATTATCAACTTTGTATAATTCAAATATTTCAGTTACCTCACTCAGACATTTATATAAAATATAAAACAATTTATAATATTTATATTAAAATTTATTATACAAATATAGCCCTGAAAATGAAAACGCATTTTAATAATTCACAAATAAATATAAAATATTGTGCATAAACATTTATTCATGATTATTCTAATTAAAATTATATTATGTTAAATTATAAATAGAATAATATCAAAATAAGATACATTCACGCATCAGAATGTTTGTTTGTAAACCAAATGACGCATCATTACATGGTAACTTTGCTTTTCCATTTATTGTAATAAATGCCAAGTAAATATTAAATTTTAACATTGATATATTTTTCAGAGTGGTCATATCCTATGCTAAAACAGTATTTATAGAAGAATGGTATCAAAATTGGAATAATAATAGGAAAATAGGGATCCAATGGGAGCTGTAATAAGGGTTTGAGAGCCACAGTGGTGAGTATATATTGTTTAAATCTTCTCTGCCGACCGAACGTAGACAAAATATGTTTTGGGTATAAACCAAGGGTATTGAGTGGCTCCTTATCAACCAATAAATTGAGATGTTTAACTTTTGAGTTATCAAAATAATAATTAGAAATAAAATGAGACACGTGAATGTATCTTAATTTAGAATTACAGGGTGGTTATAATTAAAGTTGCTCTACTCAGACCTGTATAGAACTCGTTCGCGTTGACATATTTTGATGAAACTTCGTATATATGTTATATAGACCATGGAGAAAAGGCAAATGAAAAAATTATTTAGTTCAAATTTCTATCACTAGGTGAAAAAATGGCACATAAGATAGACGTTATGCAAATTAGGAACCTTTTAAAAAGCCAGTAGTCGATGCCATTCTTTATCATGCCTTCACAGAAGAAAGATCGAGCTTTACTGGTAGTTTTATCAGAATGGCAGTAATGGTTCCGCTGCACTGCGATAATATCGATTCTTAAAAAGCTTGTGAATAGGAGTATGGTTTGAAAATGATGATTAATAAATTTGAAGAGACTGGAGACTTGGGTGTATCGCCAGGAAGAGATTGGAAAATGATTTCAAATGAAACTGTGGAGCAAGTTGCCGGCCGTTGCTATGATTGACAGAGTAAATGCTTCCCAACATTCTTCAGTGAGTGCTTGAGCATTATCATGAGATTTGTCTCTTTCTTGATATATGGTTCAAAAAATTATGTGATCCATTTTATAGTGGTATCCATACAAGATCCACATGCTGCAAAAGCTGCATCCTCAAGATCCAGAACAATGAACAGAGTTTGCTTACTGGTTTTTGGCCAGAACAGACATTGACAATGCTTGGTCATGGAACATTTTGTGGTCAGAGTGGCGTATTTCACCCTAGATGGATCACTGAATACTCAGAACCGTCGCATATGGGGTACTGTAAGACCTGGTGTTATACATGAACAGCCTCTGCACTCTGCTTACATGTCCATTTGGTGTGGTTTTCACTTCTGACTTCATTCTTGGCCCCTTTTTCTTTCAGTAGATCACACCACAAGGCCCTAAAAGATGTTCTGTGACTGATGCCAGTTACTGCAAACTTCTGCTGAATCACATCATTCCTGCTTTACAAGAATGAGAATGTTTAGAGACTACTGTCTTAATACAAAATGGGGCAACACTGCATATTACCTGACAAGTAAACAAACTGCTGCATGACAAATTTGGAAATGATCTGGTAATTTCAAGTTTTCTGAATGCCTGGCTGCCTTATTCTCCAGACTTGAATCCCTGTGACTTTTGGTCATTGGGAAATCTGAAAGATCGCGTCTATAGAGGAAGCATACGGATCTGCCTGAATTGAAAACAAGCATAAGCCATGTTTCTGCAATTCCTTGACAAATCTATCGAGCTACTGTTGAACAAGCTGTAAGGTGTTTTAAACACATGATTGACGCAAATGGATTGCACATTGAACAAATGTTCTGAATAAAAACTTTTTGTGTGTTTCCATTTTGTATTTCTTGTTCTTCATGCATCATTTTTTCTCCTAGTGGTAGAAATTTAAACTAAAATATTTTTTTCCATTTTCCTTTTCCCCACGGTCCATATAACATATATACCAAGTTTCATCAAAATACGTCAACAAGAACGAGCTCTATACAGGTCTGAGTAGGGCAACTTTAATTATAACCACCCTGTATATATAGAAATTTTATTTTACGTTTAAAATTTGAAATATATAATTTATATTTTAATCATTAGTTATTTAGTCACACCAATATCCATTAAAAGTAGGCAGTGATATATAAACACTTCTGCTTTTAATTTTCTCTTTAATTCTAATCTTTAACAACATGCTGCAACAAATCTTTTAATTCCATGATTTGGCTAACAGAAAAACAATGAATAAAAAAAAATTAAAAACGGACATGTCAGAGATAGCTAACTGCAGACATTTAATACATCAACAAAAAGTTAAGGATGTTTCCTAATCAATTCTATAAAGTTTTGCTTTCGTTGATACCATAATAAAGTATGGATTTGATGGAAAAATCGCAAATAAATGAGATAGATATTATTCGAACATTGCCACTGGCTAATTATAAGAGATCGAGATGTTATATTGTATACAAAATAGCTGTTAGTGAGAAAATGAGCATTTGCTATCCTAAACTGTATTGTATTTCTCTCTCTCAATCCAGTGAAGTATTTAATGGAACAAATGTTTGTTTTTTGGAATATTAGAATCAAATGACTTAGAAGACTACTACTATTTTCTCTCCAAAAACCCATGTTTGTTTGATAAACAATTCCACTAAAACCTGATACAATATAATACATACGACATTGGTTGGCTTTTAGTATCGGGTTAGTAACCAATGTTGGTTATTGCATAATGTTATACATACTGGAAGATGAGATTGAATTGGAGTTCTGGGTAGTGTAACTGGCAATGCATCCGCACAGTAAGTGACAGTTGCGGGTTCAAGTCCCACTCCGGGCCAATTATTTTCTTCCAGTTATTCTAAATTAATAAATTTAATAATTATAATTAAATAAGAGATGGTACCTAACATCTCCTAGTATCAAATTGTTTTGTAATTTATTAGTATTACAGCTGTTTTCTAGCCCGATGACATTGGTTGGCTTGGGTTGATATACAGTTTGGATGTTTACTCAAGGCTGAGCAAACTTGTGGCACATGCTCCAACAGTTTGTTGAGGCAAGTAGAAAGCATGCAATGCCGTGTAGCTTGTACACATGCCCAGAGTTGTTAGAAATTTAACAAAAAACACATCATAATTTCTCTGTCCATAAAGTTCAAAAGAAATTCAATAAATGACAAGTCAAATGACTGTAGACACACACCTACTGCTTCCTTCTGTTGTAACTTAGGTTGGACTTATGTTTAGGGTCATTATCTTGTTGTAAGACAAAAAATATCTCCAACAAGAATCTGACCACAGGGCACAACACGCAATGATGGATTTTTGAACAAGTAAGTTCACCAATCCCTCAATTCTGCAGATGTCATCCATCTAATTTATAGCCAAGCATCCCCATATCATATCATGCTTCACTATAGGAACCAGACAATCAGAACTTGTTTTGCAGCTATACATATTCTATGGTTGATCCAAAGACTTCAAACTTTAATTCATCAATCCATAGCATCCACTTCCATTCCACTTTGGACCCTTTGGACTTCTTGAAGATAGATTCGTTGGTTGAAGGTAAAGAATGAGGTGTAGCACATAAGATGGGCAAGCTCCAACACCTGCTTGTGGTATCCGGGTGGAGAGGCTTGGAAAAGGAAATCTCTAAGGGCACAGAAGCACGGTTCCAATTTAATGGAAGGATACATAGCTTCAAAGTCTAGAACTGTAATAAATTCCTGATCCTTCAGAG